ATTTTAATATGCTGATTTGATGCTTAAACTTTTTGTGAAAACTGATATATTTTTCTGGGGATCCTTTAATGAATAGAAAGTTCAAAAGAACAGCACTTATTAGGAATAAAAATCTTTTGTAACATTATAAATGCCTTTACTCTCACTTTTGATCAATTTAATGTGTCCTTTCTGAATGAAAGTATTAACTTATTTAAAAAAAATCTTACTGACCTCAAACTTTTGAACAGTATAGTGTACATACAGACACTATTATTGGAAACCTACATATTAGTAACCCACAAAATATGATACACGATAACATAAAAACACATTAATTTCATTATGAACAGCTAATACTCTCTCTTTAATCAGGCCCACTGTATTACCTGTCAATGGACTGTTTCCCCTGCAAACTAGGAGTGAATTTGTACTCTGTAACTTATAGAGTAATCCCAAGTAAGTTTGAGAAAGATTTTATGTTGGTTATAGAATATAGTCTTATTTATGGAACAGTCTCTGTTTAATTTAACCATTTTAATTAAATAAATCTAGCCTAACTACCTAATTTGACATTTGCCTTGTTTTTCAGTGTTCACAATCACTCATATTGGATATCATGCTATTGTTTACTACAAAGGTCAGCTGTGGTTGGATCATGTGCAGCCAGATATTCCTTGTGAAGACATCAAATTGTGTTACATCATGAAAGGAGGTACTACCTGTTGTAATATGTTTACTGCGTTATATTTTAATGTGGTGATGCAGCTGGAATACCAATGAGGTTGTGTCCTTGTTTCAGAAACACTTCATGAGACTTTTCCATTTTATGTGAAAAAGTTTTTTGGCCCTGAGGTGAGTAATCAACATAGTGCTTTATCCACTTTTAATTTTAATTTAATCCTTCAGAAATTACATGTATTAAAATATACAGTATACTATAAATAATAATACATAATAAAGATAAGATTAAAAGCTATAATCTTATAGTAAAACAGATTTTGCTATTTTACTTTACAGGGAGAGTATCAGGTTTACCTGATCATAAACATTGTTGATGACCTTGAAAACAAACTGGCAATACAATTCAACATCACTATAAATGTGAAAAATAATGGCAATAAGAAAAACAAATTCTTTCCACATCTGGGAGGGCTATAGGACCAGCTTTATTTTTTTTATTTTTTCGAATCAGCTTTCTGACCAGATCAAGTGATCATCATTCTAGCAAATCCATCTCAAATGACTGATATTCACACTGTTTGTTTGTATAGTATTTTGATACCAGGTAGTATTTTTAAGAACATTTAGATTCCGCCAAATGATAAAGGCCCACCCAGCAGCCTGTCAATTAGGAACTTGATTCTTCTTCCTGGATGCATGACGCATTATCAGCTGCTGAGTATTGTCCTTCATTCAGAACTGCCTCCTGTTTGAAGTTTGGACAGACTGAAATAGTTAAAGGAGGTTAAAATAACAGCCTTATCAACAGTGTCTGCCATTAGCCGGGAGTAGCTTTCACTCATTTCTTGTAAATGTGTGTTTTGTGAGACATTACCTGACACTTGATCACAGGAACACGAGTAACAACATAAAGTATAACTTAAATGTTGTGTGTTATGCTTAATGAATGCAAATAGTAATAATTCGCAAGTATATAAAAACAAACATGCCAATACAGTACTTTACAAATTTTTATATACATATCATTATTTTTGCAAAAATACAGTAAAAACAGTAATATTGAGAAACTCTATTACAATTCAAAAACAGATGAAATATAAGTGTTTTATGTAATATAACTTAAAATGTAATTAATTTCTTTTTTCAAAATTCATTGTCAGAATTTTCTGAATGCTGATTTGGATCCAGAATGTTTTTTCAGGATTCTTCAAGACATGGAAAGTTTAAAAAACAGCATTTATTTGAAATGGAAATTCTTTGTAATGTTATAAAAGTCTACTGCCACTTTTGTTTTATTTAATTTCTTAAAAAATGTATTTATTTCAAAACTGTTTAGATAGATAGATAGATAGATAGATAGATAGATTTATTGATTTCCTTTGTATTCATGACTTACATCCCTCTGTGTATTTCTCGTATGACATAAAACAAGTGAATCTCTGATGAGCACTACATAGCAGACACATGCTGTATTTGTCGGAGTGATATATACAGTATGTGTGCTGGAAAGACTGGGCTCACTACAGCTCTTGTCAAGAGGGTTGGGTGTGAGGTGGCATATTCACAGTGGGAGTGTTGCAGGCCTGACAAGAGAGAGCAGGTGTCTCAGGACGGGCTGACCTCGCAGCTTTGACCCTGGGGGCCTATCAATCTAGATCTAATGGCAGGGAGGGGGCAAGAAGGGGTAAGAGTACAGGGTTAAAGGGAGCCTCCCTATCAAAAAAAATCCCCAAAAAGGGAAGTTGAGTTAAAAATGTTTTAATTTTTAATACATTAATGGACATGTCATGATCATCATCTGTGTCCTCGAGCAGCAAAACAAAGTACTTGATAAGACTAAATTAATTACTTTACATATTACTTACTTAATAATGTAACATTTTTGCAAAAAAAAAAAAAAAAAAGGGTTGTGAACAAAAGAATTTGCTTCTGGTTAGAAGACCACTGTACTTGATTGTTAATTTTTTTTTTTTTAATATTAAAAATAAAAAAAAATCAGATCCACTCTGTTCACAATGGCTCTTTACCGCAAACCTTTTCTTTAGAAGAAGTGATGGCCTGTGAAATATGAGCCGGTGTATGTAGTTTGAGATGGTTGAGGTTTCTCACTGTCTCCCATTCACATGCCACAAATTCTGTGTAACCGATACTGTTTGACCTTGGCAATTCCCACGAAAATATTTCTCAAACTATACAGGATCTAAGTTGGTCTCAACCAATGGGGGTGAAAGATATTTTTCAGAAATTATGCAAAGAACGACCCAACGTGCCAAAGTTGGAGGAAATTCCATGAGTGCTGACTGAGTGATGTCATGTAACTACGTGACATAAAGTACCACGGAGTGATCTTCTTCCTGTTTGTGCGTCAGCAGAGGCTTACTGAGGTAAGATGTCACGTGAGATTAGACGCTTAATGGCTGCGGCTGTTGAGAAACAGAACTTTGTGTGTTATGTCTGTTGGCTGAGCCTCTATTTCAGGCTCTTTCTATATTAACTGTATGGGGTCCATGTTCACATACTAAAAGAGAACAACAAAGCAGCTGGTGGGTGACCTTCCACTCTCTCCATTGAGCTCAGAGGAGGAGAGAGACGACATAGGCTGGCGCAACTCTCATGGTGCTCAAACATGACCCACTCCCAGCCAACAGCAGCTGCTTCACACTATTTTGGTCTTAGGATCACTGCAGCAATCCTCCAGACAAGGAACAATTTTCACACTCAAGGGGGAAGGACTGCTCTAAAATAAAACATACCTGTAAGCCTAGAGAGACGGCATGGAAGTAATGGAAGCCCCCTGTCTGATCTCTTCTCTGTCTAATAATTTTCTGCATTAATGTGTGTAATAATTTCAAAACTCGTCTTTGTCTAATAATAGGTTTTTAGACATGATTTGGACCGGGTGTTGGTCAATGAAATGGGAAAAAACTATGTCAGGACATGCTTCAAGACTTTGAAAAGTCACCTTTTTAATTATAATTTATATCAATAATTTCCAAAAAATAATATATATGTCTATATATACGTTTCAGTATCATTAAGGTGTGTGGGACAGTTCATATCAAAACTTTCAGCAACATTTTTCCATTTGTTCAACCTTTAAGATGAAAACAATACATTCAAACCAATTATGAAAAATGTTAAGATATTACAATGACAGATTCAAGCCATTTTAAATGTCGTGTTTAACCCTTTCGTGCTGTTGCAGGTCTTTAATTACCCGTTTTTTGCTTTAACCTAGATTTAATGCAACATTTTATCTTGAATTCACAATTTATGATTCTTCAGTTGTGAATTTTTGTATGGTCAATTTGAAGAGCTATGCTAGATCTTAAATCATAACAGCACAAAAGAGTTAAATTGAATGCTGTTTTACAATAAAACATCTTAAATACTAGCTGTTTGTTTTTTGTTTTTTTTAGAAAAATACAGAAATTATAATTTTGTATAGACATGAACTTTTTTGTACATTTTCTTGGTAATGGAAACAAAATGACAAAAAAAAATCTTTACGGTTAAATTTTAAGGGGAAATTTTAATTACATCTAATATGTATCAGGTCAGGATGGAATATAAACAGAAATAGAAAACAAAACTGAAAAAAAACAGCAATTTACATAGCCAATGAGTGTAAATCAAAGATGTTTACCCCGCCACAAAAAGAAAAAATTCTTTAAAAGATATTATTTCTTTAAAAATAAGTCTGTTCTATATTTGAAGATTACTCTCTCTTGTCAAATGACAAGCCATCATCCATTCTGATGCTCTTCTCTTCCCTCCTCCTTCCCTCTCACATACTCTCGCAGTCTGACAAAACCTCTGTAAAAACAGTCACCCTGTTACTGCTGAAATTCATGCTTCACACAACACATCCATAGCCGGCAAATACACCATGCACGCAGGATGTTTGAATCAATCAGCAAAAGATGCAGTGCTGTAATTTTAGTCAAGGCCATTTAGTGTCCAGCTGTTGACTAAATATATTCTGACTTTGTATATAAAATAGATCTATTTACATGTATACATTTGTCATTTAAATACTGGTGCGAATGCACCATGTGCACAATAATTGCAATCACATCCTCATGCACCACCAGACCAAAATAATGGAGAATAACAGCAGATTTCCACAAAAATTCCTAATTAAGACAGCATTTCAAAAATCACATTTTCTGAGGTAAACTATAACACTGTTATAAATTATTTAAAGGCAACCATCTCTACATTCCCATTTATAACCAGTGGGTCAACCTGAATGTATTCAACACAATTTAGCAGGCATAATATTGAGGCAGGTACCGCTCTGCACGTCAAGTTAAGGGTAGTGTGAGGGGTTTTCCATAGGACATGTTAAATCTTACAGTTCAAACTGTAACGTGTTGTTATTTTCAGGTTTTACATTGGATATTTTCGTCATCCTTAGCTACAGGTGCAGAAATAAAGAACACAACAGAAAACAAGACAAACAAAAAAAGTCAAGACAAAGTCGTTAAACCAGTACCAATGCACAGGCATGTCACAGATGAATCTCCTAAAACAGGAGCAAGAGATGTTAGACAAGGCTGTAGAGATGGGTAATGGAATAAGACTGGCAAGTGACCCATTCAAAATGTGCATGGTGTTTTGAACCAAGCAGAAAGCGGACACAGGTGGTACACACTCCTGCTGCCCAAACACACTGGCAACCCACTACACATCTCCCCTTTAAAACGTCAGTTGGTAAAATAGAAAGGCAGCTGTTCGTTTCCGTCAACTAAAAGTGCATCTCCGAACATATCCAGTTAAGTCCCCCCATTCCACCCCTCCCCTTAGCAGCGGGGTGGACATGCACTTGACTGGGTACGGCTTGGATCAGCAGATTCTTTTTCTTTCCCAACGACTGCTTGCTTCAGCTTTCAGAGCCCAAGCGAGTCACAAATCATCGCCAGAGGAACTGGGTTGGCTCAGGCCGAATGGTCCGGGTTTCGTCTTTCTCCCATGATTTGCTCTAATTCCAGTCGTCCAGTCCTTTGCCTGTGTCTGAGTCTGACTGGCGCCATTTTGTTTTAAAGGCCATTGATGCAAGTGCGGAGAATTAGGGGCCTATGCCGCTAGTTTTCATGAGCTCACTGAAGGGTCGAAACAGTTAGAGGGTAAGTAATTATGTTGAATAACATTCAGGCACAGCTGCAATTACATGGCAAGACTAAGGTAGACTACATTAGTTGGTGACTGACATGAGGCAAAGATCAGGGCCTATGGCAACCTGAAAAATCCTCCATCTGAGTGCGAGAGTCTTACCTGAGTTTAATGTGCCGTCAAGTGAGGAAATGGACAAAAATAATTGCCAGTCCAATATTTAACAGCATCACTAGTATGACCAATATTGAGTTGGGACCCTGAAGAACCAGCGAAAGAGACAAAGCTGGAGGTTAGCAATTGAATGGCACCTGCTCTCATATAGCAAATGAAAATATTAAGCATGCACCAATATTAAAATTTGAATTTTAATACTGAAAAGCTGATGATTATTTTCATGTAATGGCCAATATTTAATTTATATGTTTAAATAGGGCTGCACGATTATGACAAAAATCATAATTGTCAATTATTGCCTTGAAATTGTAATTGTGATTATTAATTACGATTATCACAATTTACATTGAATGATGTTTATACCATTGTTTGATGCAACTGCATGCCGTATTTTTATATGAAAATAAACAAGCTGAAAACACTAACTGAAAAACTTTTAGTGCTTTTCTATAGTATTAAGCCTCAAATGTCAACTATACATCGGATTGGTTTCTTCTTTAAATTATAAAAAAAGTAAAAATATAAATGGTATTATAGTATTATACTAAAACTAAAATTAAAACAATGGAAAACCCATTAAGATAAAAAAAGCATCTTAAGCACACAGAATAACATAAGTGGACTTTGAACGATTAATTGCCGCTTTGAACGATTACGTAATTGTGGCATCCATAATTGTAATCGCGATTAGAAATTCGATTAATTGTGCAGCCCTATGTTTAAATATAAAATAAAAATAAACATTTTAAAACTAAAAAACACCATTTAAATAAGCATGCATGATACAGTATATTAATACCATACTGTTTATTTTCCATTATTAGAAATGTTCAAATTTATTAGTATCAGTCAATATTGGATATTTAATTGTGCAGGATCATTTCAATTATTTACTTTAAAGGTGCACTAAGCAATTTTTGAAAAACGCTTTTGACCACAGTGTCAGACTGAGTCCCAAAAACATTTGTAGCCAATCAGAAGTAAGGGGCATGTCTTGTACTGACAGAGAGAATAAAATTATTTTTATTATATATAAAAATAGGGGCGAGGTCCTGTTGGGGTATGGGCATGTTTGTTTTGGTGCTTTCAGATATCAACATCATTTGGCAAAAATCGCTTAGTGCACCATATGTTAATATTTAAAAACTAATAATTTTAAACACTGTTAAATACATATACACTTTAGAAATCTCATACATATGTTAATATTTAAAAACTAATCATTTTAAACACTGTTAAATACATATACACTTTAGAAATCTCATACTTAACATTATAATGTTGTGATGCCTAAATTCATGTGTAGCACTTAAAATTATTGCTTTTATTTTAGTTTTATTTTAAATAATATCACAGTTTAATATTAAGAGGATATAGATGATTATGCATCTGTGAAAAAATGCATTTTTAATATATTGTGAAAAGAACCTAGTCATATTACATATTATATTGATAGTGCTAAACACAGCCAAAAATAGTAATTTTACTGATAAATGTCATGCATGTTGATGTTGCAGCTACTTACTGACTCCTCCTCAACAATGTCAGTAGTAATTTCCATGCTGTTATTGCTTTTATTTTTTATTTTAGTTTTATTTTAAATAATATCACAGTTTAATATTAAGAGAATATAGATGATTATGCATCTGTGAAAAAATGCATTTTTAATATATTGTGAAAAGAACCTAGTCATATTACATATTATATTGATAGTGCTAAACACAGCCAAAAATAGTAATTTTACTGATAAATGTCATGCATGTTGATGTTGCAGCTACTTACTGACTCCTCCTCAACAATGTCAGTAGTAATTTCCATGCTGGCTTTCTTAGTTTCTGCTAGGCTCTTTGGCTTCAATGATTCCTGTTTCTTCAGTTTGGGTTCGGGTTTGCTCTCTTTGGCCATTACTGGTTTTGGGGTCGGTGCGCGGTACTGCTTTGCAGATGGGGGCATCCTGGTGTGAGCAGTTGACGTTGCATGGTGTTCTTCATCCTCTGGATCATCAGGTGGCATCATCACCTCCGCCTTCACATAGTATCCGTGATACTGGGAGTGCAGCTCACCATTCCCAGGGCTGGAGGCATTGGCGACCGGCGCCGGCGGCTTGGAAGGTTTGGCTACAGGTACTACTTCCTGTTTTACTTCCTGTTTGTCTGATATCCTGGAAATAGCCTTGGTGACACCCACTGCCAGGCTTTCGGCAGCAGGGGGCTTGTTTTCTTTGATGGCTTTTGGGGCACTTCTGTTAAAGAAGGGCTTTTTCTTGATGAGAGGCGGGGAGGGAGGTGGTGTGGGCCCGGGGCTTTGGGAAGGGGACTGGGTTGGGGTCGTACCTTTGCGATAAAAGTGCGGACTTCTTGAAGGCGATTTCTCTTTCTTTTCTTCTGGTACTTCTTTAATCTCGATGGGCTCACTGGAAAACCTTTGCTTGATATAGTCAGGACCTTAAAAGGGTATAAAAAAGTCAGAATTAGTTTACATTTTTTTTAATTAACTAAAGGGGTCCTATTATGCTTTTTCACTTTTTCAACTTTAGTTAGTCTGTAAAGCATGACATTTCCAGACCAGCCGCCGAGTTGTGCCAGTCACAACACACACTGGCCCAGCTAACCAAATCACAGCACATTTCATATTTCAGAAGGCTTCATTTGATACAGGAACTATTCGAGCTGTTCATGCCAGACTGGGGAGAGAGGTGTTGTAATAATGTAAAATATGTGAAAAATAATGTGTTTTTCGAACAACCTAGTATGAGAGCCTGTTCTAGTACACCCCCAAATCAAAATCAAGACTTTGTAAAAGAGCATAATAGGACCCCTTTAAAAATTTTTACATTTTATATAAATATAAAATTTTAAATTTTTATTACATTTTAGACGGTCTGATTCTTAAAAAAAAAAAAAGAAACAAGTAAAAAGATCAAATGATTACTGCCAGACAAAAAGACCTTGATACATCTAAATACGGCTCAAACACTCAATGCCCAGAAACAAAACATCTCAAGAGTGCTGCTTGTGAATATCAAGCTCAGAATAAACTGCCAGCAGAACAGATGCAATTTCACGTTTTCACAGTCTCAGTCTCTTAGTGTTTATGAAGGGACGGACATTAAGAACTTTGCCACTTGCTTTATGATTGAAGTCTGAGCTTCCAGTCATTCTGCAGATTCTCCAGACCATGGATATGGCCAGAGTGGCCTCACAGCTGACACAGATGGGCTTTCTAGAACTTGCACTGGACTGTGCCCAGGCCCAGACTACAAATAAATCACACTGTTTATCAGCCTTTTTAAAAAGCTAAAGTGCGGAACATCTCATCTGCAGAGAGTCTTGACACCAAGCACTCTCAAACAAAACTGTAAGTACATTTCAGAAAAAAAAAACATTCAGTCCACATTGCTCCCTCGAGTAAGTTGTGTTGACACTTTGTTGAGGCAGAAACTGTATTTTGATATTTCTAGGAGGACAAATGAGAATTTATGAGCCTGGTGATTTTTATAAAGTCTGTAGGATTGAGGATCTTTGACCTTGTATATTATAATGTGGCTTTTACATATACAAGTAGCAGCAGCCTAATTATTGTGAATTATAGATTGTAAACAAAAATGAGTGTCTCACTAATATAAACATTTGTCATTTTTATCCCAATCCCCAAGACGTAATTTCTGCAACAAGATTCTGTAAGGTTATTTTGAATAAAATGGAATTAAACTTGACTAGTCCTGGGCAATATTTCCCTAAAACATGTGCAGACAACCAAGGTTGTGTGAAATTCAGAACTGAAACACTGACTACATTTCACTTCATGAGCTGGAATTGAAAATGAAATGTATGGAATAACTAAAGGGACATGGTTGATGGAAAAAAAATGACATGGGAGTAAAAATTCAATTCCAATGTTTTTTAATTTGTGCAAATCTTTTGTGTTCCCCAGAAAAAAAACTTTGCATTTACTCATAAAATAATATGAGGGTGGAGGAAAAACTATATTTCAATACCTCTGCAAGCAAACACAACATTTTTTGGGGGAACACAATACTTTTGATTCTTCTCCGTACAATTGGCCATACCCCACAGGTAATGCTTTCTGGGAAATGAAGTGTTCTTCCACCCTGGTCTAAAAAAAAAATAATTTATTAAATGTGATGATGTTACGGTCTATGCCTTGAGTGTGTATTCTCCTTCATGTGACATCATGTCTCTCCTAATCTTTCTCTCTGAGTCTGATTGTTTAGGACCTCCTCTGTGCACCTGCGTCTCATGGCATGAGTGCTGATTAACTATATTAAGGACGCTGAAGCGGAGCATGGCAAGAGGGAAGGAGATCCAGCAGCAAACAAGTTTTATTACCCTTATTTTTCTTTCTTAATTTCAGTACATTCATTTTTGTTGCCTTTATATTTTGGAGTTGTTCCATTCGATGGTTTTGGATTGTTTATCATCTTTCGTTAGTTCTTTTAGGAACTTTTTTGTTTTCCTTTTTTTGATACGTGTTTCCTTTGTGTTATGTTTAGTTTTGCTATCTAAATAAATGTAGTTGCATGACATTTTGGATTTACATGTCCTTTATGTTGCGTTCCCCTTTCTGGCTAATTTAAACAGGGGCTCGTAACAGATGAAATAAATAAACTTAATATAAATCTAAATGCAGAGCTAATACTTAAATTCTGAATAATGCCCAACTCCACAGGTAACAGATTTATCCTTAACAAATAAAATAAACTGATATGCTACTCAAGCTGGTATCCCTGTTAGCAGAAACATTTGATCTCATTTAGAAAAGTGCAAGTATTTCATAACTTAAAAATATAGGAAAAATGGTTATAATTCACAAACAGCTACCAGAGTTGAAGGGATTCAGCAATGTGATTCTTTGCATCCACCCAGCAGCTTTAATCCCACTGTGGTTGTGCTGTCAAATCCAGCTAGAGTGCAATTAACTGACAATTGAGCTAATGTAACACAATTATTTATATATTATTTATTTATATTAATTATTTAAAATCCTTCAGGAAGCAACAGGGATTCTGACCACGACATAGTAATTCACAATACGTAAAATATATTTAGCTTCATAAGCAAGACGTCACTGGCCAGCCATGCAGACCTGCGATTTAGTTGGGGGTGGGGATTTAAGGATTCCACTTGGAGCATTTAGGAATTATCCCGAAACCATTTGGTAATGTATGGACAAATGCCAAAGGCTTTTTGGCTTTAACAAGGCTTTATATGAGCAGAAAGAGGTTGAAGAAACTGTGGCCTCACTGAATTGAGGTTAATGTGATATTATAAATCATACATATACAGTGGGTACGGAAAGTATTCAGACCCCCTTCAATTTTTCACTCTTTGTTATATTGCAGCCATTTGCTAAAATGTCTGAATACTTTCCGTACCCACTGTATATGCCATGTGACATTCACCAACTTGTTTCATGTTGGTAATGCTAACGTATCAATTGTTTAGAATACAAATTAAATGTTATATAAAAAAATATACAGTCTACAACACACATTTATAATTCTTGAGCCTGATGTTTTTTTTTTATAATTTGCAGGAATTAAAATCGGTCGGAGCTTGGCTCAGAGAAGCAAGAAATTTATGCAAATGATATTCCTCCCCTTCACAACTCATTTGCAATTGCATCTGCTCTCTTTGCCTTTGCTTGACAGGGAGGCAAAAAAGAGACACTTGACCCAGACACAAAGACAAGGACACAAAGGGAGTAATTAGGGAGGGGCGAAAGGGCGTAGAAAACGTGTGTGTGTGTGTGTATGTGTGAGTGCATGAGAGAAAGTGGATGTGCATGTGGATGGTGGGATACCTGGTTGATAGAAGTTGGGGGACAGTTCTCTGGCCGCTGCTCTGGCGATATCAGAGTCCTGGCTGGCAGACAGGGCCGCCTGGTCAGCTGCCTCTGCTTTGGCCCTGGCGTGTGCAGTTCTAGGTAAAGCAAAGAGACAGAGCTGGAGTCAGACAGCTTGGATGATAAGATATGGGAGGAGGGTACATCACTTTAACACTGCTCCCGGCACAATCAGTCACCGCCACTGCAGTGGCTGCAAGTCCACTGTGCCACTCACAACAAGCACACAAAGATGCATTCATTAACAGAAGCTAAGGAACAAGTTACTATGCTGTGTACTGTTTTCATTTTCCTATTCACGAAAAGCGCTAAAATAGAACAAAATGTTGGCATTAATCAGTTGAAAGAGTACAGGATTGTCCTCTGTCAATATGCAAACATCTAGGACTGAGTGACATGGGTGACATACTATATTCCATATTTAATCCATAAACTTTTAAATATATGTATCAGCCCAACAAGGCCTTAAATAACCCATTGGATTAACACTTGTTAAGAGGAAGTTCACATGAGTGAGTGAAGAGAGAGTACAGATGTATGTTACAGTGTAAGGTATATATACAGTATAACTTCATATATTTATGCAGATATGCAGTGCCATGAGCACTGGAAGGCCATCCAAACCTAATTTTAGTTTGTTTTACATTTAGCATTTAATACATTCTGAACAATTTTGTAGGGTTACTCACTCCTATCAGAAAAACTAGACTGTTCTTCTTTTAGGCAGTGGCCTACTTAAAATTTCCATCACATATGCAGAGTAAAATATGAAAATCAGTGCTTTCTCCTCATTCAATATTTGTTAAAAATTTAACCAATACTATTTCTTTTCCTCTTTGCACCAGACCATGCAGTCTGAATGAAGACATAAGTGTAAGCCGGCTGTCATGAAACATTCCAGACAAAGTATCTTTCGAAGTCCATCCACATTACAACTGTTATGCTAAGCTTGCTTTTAAGGGATCATAGTCTTTAACTGTGGGGAGGAGCTTTGTATTCATTACATTCTAAGGAGAGTTATGTGAATAAATTAAATTGAATATAAAGCTCTGGTTGAATGAATTAAACTAGCTAGCCTTCTCTTTTCCTTCTAAAAAACAAACCTCAAGTAATAAGATCTGCACTGTATATACAGTGGGTACGGAAAGTATTCAGACCCCCTTAAATTTTTCACTCTTTGTTATATTGCAGCCATTTGCTAAAATCATTTAAGTTAATTTTTTTTCCTCATTAATGTACACACAGCACCCCATATTGACAGAAAAACACAGAATTGTTGACATTTTTGCAGATTTATTAAAAAAGAAAAACTGAAATATCACATGGTCCTAAGTATTCAGACCCTTTGCTGATATGTGAAAAATGACATTTTTGGGTAAACTGTCCCTTTAAATATATGACTTTGAATTCAATACATATCAAACTTTATCTATCGCTTACTACTATTCGAATTCCAAACTATTTAACCCTTATATTATGTTCCGGGTCAATTTGACCCATTTTGATTTTCGAGTTATCTGTGATTTTATTCTTGATATTTTGTGACTTTCTCATTTAGGGCCATGAACATGCGTGCAAAGTGAGGATACACTGATGTGTTTTGAAGTGCACACAAATAATTTTCTGACGATTTTGATGTTCGCAGGTAAGTTTGACCCACATTTTTTTTTTGTTTCAAGGCATCTGTACAGACCCAAATTAAATATATTTCTTGGGTATATGTTATGTTGGTGTTTTGCTGAAAATGAGCTTTTTCTCGCTCATTTTCTCATTATTTTCAGTGCTGAAAAAGACTTTCTCAGACTCAGATGGTAAAAGTGAGCTATCATTTCTATTTTCAATGTATATGAAATACTATTTAACTTATCTTTTTCTTCCAGAAATTTTGTAACTTTTTCTCATTTAGGGCCATGAACATGTCTAAATAAGTTGTGTTCCAAATTTGAAGTTGATATCCAAA